TCTGCTCAACCGTCTTGAACCGCAGTCGTAACCAGTGACATCCACGGGTGTTAGCTCTGATATAAAACTTCCTTGAAATCAGAACCGCATTAAACCGCGGTATTTTAAATAACAACCGGAGATAACCTCTTCTTTTTTATTGACAATCGCCGTCAACCACAGTCACGTCCGCTGAGAACCGCTTGTGTTAATTTGACAAAAAATGAATGAAAATGATGAACCTCGTAGAACCGCGTTTTTTTTTATCAACAACCGGTTAAAATCGACGATTTATCGGTGCTCAACCGGCGAGAGCCGGGCCTATATCCGCATGAACCGGTGTGAACCACGTATAAAATAAAAACACACGCGGTTACCCGTGCGGTTTAGCGGGTCTACGTTCGTGTTTGGGGATGCAGGTTATCTGCGGAGAAACTACTCACTTCGAAAGTGACCTTTTAACATCCTGCTATTCTTGTTCTTCTTGGTCTGTAAAAAGACTGATGCAAAATACTTGCTCAAAAACATTCTTCATCATAAGTGTATAGCTCTCAATTATTCAAAATGAAACTCTGATTATGCTTTTCTTCTAAGTTAACTACATTCTAAAAAGAAATGGTATTTTACAAAATCTGAAAAGTAGATAATACGAAATCTCAAAATAGTTCAGTTAGTTCCGGAAACCAGTAAGGTTTCGTAACTTTCAATAAAATCCTCAATGGTTTCCGAGCTCCAAAGGCTTCATATGCTAGATTAAACAGGTTTTGTACAAAAAATATATCTTTTCTACAAGAAGAGTTTTGTACCGAATCTTGGATTAAATTAGAAAACTAGAAAAATTAGTGGAGTAATCGTTTTTATTTAGACAAATTATTTTAAATCAACTATGTCTGTCTACTCACCAATGTGACCTGTAAATGAGTAGGAGAACTTTCCATGTTTAAGACCCTGCTGTTTATGTGTCTGTATGTTTTTGAGTAACAATTTTTATTTTGTCCGAATGTAAACCTTTTATGTTGAAAGCAGTTCGCAAAGATCAAGAGCAATATTCTTAATTTTGTAGACAAATTTTCATTTGAATAAAATGATATCAATAAGAATAACAACAATGAATAGAATGATGCGTTTCTATTTCTTTCTTTACCTTTTTCCACCTTTTTGTATACAACTTTACAGGTAAAATCGTAAACTGTACAGAATACTACCCGAAAAATGTAGAAACAAGAATGGAAACTATTATACACAGCTAGGTCGTACGATGAAGCAAGTTAATTAACGAAACAAAGTTAATTAATTTAGCAAGCGTCGAAAGAATAAAAGATTTTTTCAGTATTCGATTTAAGAAACTGATGTACTTAACACAATTGTGGTACATTTCTAGACATGACCGCCACTAATTGTGGATTACTACGCGGCATTTCGATTATCTGAATTTCAAAACACCAAAGAGGATACTTTCTATACTCACTACATTTGAATAATATTTTGTATAGTTTTTTAATATGAATTGATCAATGACGATGACAAACACGATTTTGCGCATTCTGTCGCTTCATTGTCCGATCTAGGTGTGTGTATAATAGTTTTCATTCTTGTTTCAACATTTTTTCGGTCATATCATGTACAGTCTAGGGACGTTATCTATAACTATTCTGAGTTGACAAAACCAGTTTGATCCAAGGAGATTAAAAGAAATTAAATTAAATTTCTATTCTGTTATATTTCTTGTTGTGTATATTTTCTTCATATTCTTGGTGTTGTCTGCTTACTAATAATTTTGGTGATCAAAAATACTGATATCCTTCATAACAATCATAACTCTCTCTCTCTCTCTTTCTTAATTATAAGGATTAAATATTTTCTCCTAGAGAAACGGAAAATTTTTTCTTCAAGTTCATGACAGAAACAATATATTTTTTGTACAAATTTTATGTTCAACGTTTTATGTCCAGTTTTCGCCCTTTTCCTATGTGGTTTTATTTTTTATCTTTCATTAAGTGGTTTTATTTGCCCATTTTTTCTGTTATAAGGCTATTAACTGTAGTGTATTTTGTTATACAAGTTACATAAAGACAGTTTAAAAAAGAAATCGAAATGCGTCACTTTATCGTCGTTTGCAATCAGTAAGATTTGAGAAGAAGAGAATTAATTGCGAATAGATAAAGGGAAAATCGACCTTTTTCTAGCTTGTAACTAACGATCGAGAAAAGTTAGACGTAAAGTTCGACGCGAAACCTTTAGAAGAACGGCACGAAATCCTGTGTATGGAGCCTTTTCTGAATGAAAAATATAGATATTCGTACGAAACTTTAAAATGGTTGCAAAATTTGGAACGTTTTTTAAGTTCTGTGAAAAATCATTTTGTTTTAAAGTGTACTTTGTCAACTCTTTTTCATGTCTGAAAGTAGCACCGCTTAAAAGGTGTCTAATCCTTAAAAAGTATGCAAAATTTTAATAGTACCCTTTTCTATGTAGACTGATTATGATAACGCTTTAAAATGATCATGCTGAAAGAATTAACAACGGTAAGTGTAGTAGAGTTCTTTCTCCATTAGATTTCTTCATCAATTCTTTACGCTATAAAACTACTAATCGTTGTGTATATGTGCGTAATCTGTCTTACATCTCGATAATGAATAATTTATGTTGAATAAACTATCTATTCTTATTTTATTTTAGGATACTGATACTGAAACAGCTTACACATACGAAAAATCTCGTTGGCAATGTATGTTACAAGTTACTCGATCGGTGAAATTATTACGTGAAATGCCTCAACGTGTAGAACACGCTAAAGGGATTGCTCTATCTGGACTATCAAACGAATGTAGAGAATTAGCCGTGAGATGTGACTGTGATAAATTACCATACATATTTGCTCTACCAGAGTGTTTTATTGAAGCCAAACGAGCTATCGTAGTTCTCGAAACGTGGCTCCAGAATGACAAAAAATATACTTCATTTATTTTAAAGTATGCTTTATACATGCATATAACATCTCGATTTGATGAAAAAATCTTCTGTTATTTTTCAGATCAATGAAATTATTGGAAGAAAAATATTCGGAAGCAAAGAAACAATATGTACAGGCAAAATCACAACTGCGTTCTTGTGAACATAAAGTAAGCTAAAAACTTATTTTATTGCGATAGACTACTAATGACACGATGACACTTGAATTCTGTCAACGTCAAGTTTTTTGTTTTTCATACTGTTT